AAAATGTATTGGTTCATCCCTAAATGATGATGCATATCTCAACCCTAGCAACCTTAGTAAGATATTATGTGATTTTATTGTCTATTTTCTTTTTTCAATCCAGAACTGCTTGTGTTTGTGTGCATATGCACATTAGGGTACAAATCTAGCACATCTCTCCCACACCAGTAGAGTCTACATGCTGACTCTTTTTCTTGTGACCATCACTCTTATTGTATTGTCAGACACAAGGTGATGAGCTTTTTGTGTGAATTCTGATTTATGGAAAGTGTGAATGCTACTTGATTCACATTCAAAAAAGGAGCAGTTCAATGTCATAGGCGGCTTATATGATTTTTCTACCTGTATTACCGGCCTTCGTTTTATTTTCTCATCGTCAACATTGACATGTTCCCTGATTTTTTTCGCCCTACACAAAATAATAATTTTATTATTCTCTACTTTGAAGGCAAGCTTAATCTCTGCTAAAGCACAATCCAAGCTGGACTGATGTTAGTAAATCAGACGTTAATTCTTGAATGATATGAGAAGAATTTTGATAGAACTACAGGTTTAAACACTTGATACGCTCACTTCCTTTTCGAGCGTAAGTGTGTGTGTGTGTGTGTGATGACGAATTTCTAAGATCAATTCCAATAAAAGACGACAGTGGATTAATGTTGACCGTCTGTCAGTTGGTTTTACCAGAACATTTTATTTGGCGCTGCAGCTAAGGCAACTATCTTTAATTCTGGTGAAAATATGCTATGCTTTTGTTTGTCATATCATTTAACAGACACCGTCAGAAAAAAGTATCTCATTCCTGCGACCATTTTAATGTTGACAATTCTAAACAATTTTCTTGGAATAATCGAAAGTATGAAGACTAAGATGGTGTAGCCTTCAGTATTTTCGCGGTCTCCTTTCGGCATATATCAGTTGTTTAACATTGCTGTTAAGTTATAGAACAAAACTTAATCGCGAAAAGGGTCCGAAATTTCTTTACTTATTTGTTACTCAGTAAATGGTAAGTTGTATTTTGTTCTGTACAGTTTTCCCATCTTGATATGTCCAAGTTAACGGTAATCGACTTTGTAAAATGTTGTAATTTTATTTATTTATTTATTTACTTGTTGCTTCGTAAATTTATTGGAGAGACTTCCATTTCGTATGAAAGTGCATGAAGAATAGATTCAAAGGTCGATCTTATCAGAAGACGACAGCTGATTTGTGTTGTACGACGTTCCGGTTGACGCAGTTCACGGGACATTATTCCTCGTTTCTGGTGAAAACGGGATAAGCCTTCGTCCATCCTGTGAAGCTGATCATCAGAGCTAGAACATCCTCTTTTGAATGGCGAGTCAATACACTTTCTTTCTTTCAATCCATCAATCAAACAAAAGTAGTCATTACTCAACTTCCAACCACCATTCCCTAATCTGCAGCCGACGTACCATAATCAGCAAACTTACTAATTTGACATCATTCTATCCTATGTCCAGTTTCTGGCCTGCATGTTCGTCCACTTCTGACCATTGGACCCATCTTCCTTGCAGGCAGGTTTGTGCCCTCCCAATCTTTGTCAAATAGGTCGGCATGTCTCACCAACATAACATCGACCAAATGAGCAAACAACTTTGTGGCAGCCTCTAAAATATGGCATAGCCAAAGAAAGTGTGACAGCTTCTTTGAACAATGCTTTTCTCCCCATATTCTCCTTAATTCCCAAATCTTCTTAGAAATAAGGTATGACAGCAAAGTTATAACGTCTAGCTTTGACTAAATAGTCTTCGACTGAAATTTTATTCTTCAGTAAAGAGATATTATTCTCGATTGGGCCCAAAGGATAATTATTTTACAATAATAAATCTATCAGTCGTTCTAACTATTTAGTCAAATGGTTGCTATACGCTAGTCTCACGTTCCTAATAATAATTGATTTCAACTGACTCATGAAGTCCATCATATGATGTACGAAATCTTAGCCCATTTGCGTCAATCTGAACGTACAGTACAAATCGAATTAGCCGTTGTCTTCTGATGAGATCAACCTTAGAATCTCGCCTTCATAGACTTCCATAGGAAATGAAAGTCCGACCAGATTCATCGAAACCCTGTTACTCTTCGTATCGTATCTTTCATTTGAAATTTATTTTATTTTATTTGAAATTTATGTATCTATTTATTTATTTAATTACTTTATACGCTTTCATGTCCTATTCATATCCTTGTAGTAGCTCCGAAGCCAATTAATTATTACAGATAATTGTAACTATTTAGCCATCTATTAATTTACACAATTATCGGTTTTTTTATTTTTCCCAAGTGCATTGTGTTATTTTCATACTAATTAACTCTTAATCAAATCAAGAGCAACGGATAGATCTAATTATTTTCCGTTAATTTATTTTATAATTTTTTCAAATTATTTCGTTAGTCTATTTTTTTAACTTTCATATTTGATTTTTTATACTTTATATTTATTGTCTTCTTGCACTGGTGTAACTGCATGTAGTTTTATTTTAGTTTATGTTTTTATTTTATTTTATTTTATTTAGCCATCTATACATTTATTTATACGTTTATTTGTATTTACAAATATATTTTTATTTATCCACCGATTTTATGTATATGAATTTATATATTTTTCGTTTACTCAATTAGTTACTAATCACAACTAATCACGAAAGTTGTTTTTTGTCACCGATCTGTTGTCGATCTAGTGCAGGCCAACGGAAGAAGTTGTAAATATTAGTCCAACTTAACTTCGGTACAGCATGCGAGTATTATGTCACTCTGCCTGGTTGTTGACGTGCTGTCTTGCACCCTCGTTTGTCCACCTTTCAGTTCATCGGCCCTCAGCTCTCTTCTCCCACCAGCCTGACGACCTGCTCCAACGGGCTCAGTGAATTTGCCCGGCCCGACCAGTCGCATCAGCCTCGGTACATCAATCTTCCAGCGGCTTCGGTCGGCGGCCAGCTCGGCCCGACGGGGCAACAGACTCAGCCGGTGCGTGCGGGCGGTCTGGGAGGCAACATGGCTTTCTGGCACTCTTCGTTGCCGCTGGCTTTGAGCAGCAGTCTTTGTCTGAGCCCTAGTTCGGCCAGGACGACCAAATTCGGCATTGGCGTGAGTGGTTGCCAAGAGACTGGTCAGGAAGAGATGCAGACGAGCGAAGCAGCAGAGCAGACGAGTCGAAGCCGACTGGCGGTGATGCGATCGTTGTCGAGTCCGTTGGGCAATCTGGCCGAAGAGACGCAAGAAGAGCGGGATCCGGAAGACGAGATGACGCCAATCAGTCGGAGCCGAGAAAGCAGAAGACTTGCGAGCAATTGGACAAACGAGACGAGCCGGGCCACGTTGGAACCGAAAGAAGAGGAAGAAGAGGATGATGAAAACGACGACGAC